TCGGAAATTATGACAGCACCAGTCCTGTCAAGACATTCTTTAGAGATGAACTACTTGTGAGGAAAGTGGCTATTTATCCAACAGAGTATATTAACGGCATTGCTCTGAGGGCTGATTTGCTCTCTTGTGATGGTGTGGCCACCGTAACTACTCCACCAACCCCATTTACTCCTACCCCTCCATACACTAGTGCCCCAACCACTCCATACACTGGTGCCCCAACCACCCCATACACTGGTGCCCCAACCACACCATATACTGATGGTATTCCAACCACCCCATACACTGGTGCCCCAACCACCCCATACACTGGTGCCCCAACCACACCATACACTGGTGCCCCAACCACACCATACACTGGGGTTTCTACCACACCATACACTGGGGTTTCTACCACACCATACACTGGTGTTCCTACTACTCCATACACTGGTGTTCCAACAGCCCCTCCCACTCGGCCCTTTGTTGCAACTTCAACTGTTGTAACCCTCACTCTGAAGACAACTCGTATGCCTGCTCCGGTGACCTCAACAACTTTTGTGCCAGGTATGTGGCAAGTGTTTTGACATGAAATTTTACGTGTTACAATTGTCTACTAGTTGAGTTTTGAATACAGACATAAATTCCATTTTATTGTTTTATCATTAACCCGATAAATGTGTGCATCCCACCGTATTGTGAAGTTTCATAGCGATAATAAAAGAGAGGTCTGTAAAAGAATTAACTGACTTCGTTTATTTCGGTCAAAATAAGATCAAAATAGATTAAAATTATAATCTAGCACGCACATAGCGAAATACGAACGTAGTGAAACATGTACATAAGAAATAGATTTTCAAGTACAGATTTTTTTCCTATACATAAATATTTTTGTACTTAAAACACGTACATGGCGAAATTCGTACATAACGAAACGATTTCTGATTCCCACCGTTTCCCTATTTGAGTACTAAACTGCAATTTGCAAGAAGCACGAAATCTGCATGCTCCAGTGGAAAAAAGGGAGTTTTTATTGCAAAACTGTTTTGTGAATGAAACTCATGCTGATCAGAGTAAGTTGTTATTGTTGTATAAAGGTGAAGTTTATACTTTTCAGATTAATTTCTTATTTTTTATATGTTACAAGCATTAAAACCCTAAGAGCTATAGGAGATAAAAATTGATGCCGTTATGTTGGTTCTGCACAGGCACAATGTGCAATGTACCAATGAACCTGGACTCTCCGAGATTAATCCCAGACAAGTTGATGACAGCTTCCACTTCTTCTGGAAATCAAGTCGGACCTCAGCAGGGCAGGCTACTGAATGCGCAGAGTGCCTGGGTACCCAGGTAAGAATTTCCTTGAATAAAAAGTATGCATCTTTTGTTTCACTTCTCTTTTGGCAACTAACACTCAAAAGAAAAGGAAAGAAGCAGTTTTGTCGGCACATAGATGGATGAAGTAAACGTCTAGTCTTCGATAAAGACTGTCGAAAGTAGTGTTTACAGATGTATCATTGAAGTTTTAAAATTACATTGCGCATACAATTATAGCTCAGCCTCGACATTCCTGGCCAGGTGTTAACAAGTGTCTCTTACGCTTGGGAGCAATGAAAAGTCACATGGATACATTGTGTTTAAATAGCACCACCCCCCCCCCCCCCCCCCCCCCCCCCCCATTCACACACACCCTCTTATGTATATATGTATTTTATACTCTTACACAAGCAAAAATAAACTGTGCCTCCAGTATGTTGCTTGGTCTCTTCTCGTGTTTTTCTCTTTTCTACACCCCCCCCCCCCCCCCGGGGGCCACCTGTACTCATTATGGGCCTGTTCCAGTGAAAACTCTGAGGACCAGTGGCTACAAGTTGACTTCCTTAAGCCTCAAGTCCTGTCTGGTGTGATGAGCCAGGGGCATCCCCATGAGGACAAGTGGGTGTCCAAATTCTTCATCACTTACAGCCAGGATGGCCTCAACTTTCTCTTGGTGAAGGATGATAACGGGAAACCTATCGCATTCTCTGGCAATGTGGACAAAGACAGGGTTGTCCGCAATTATTTCCCTCATGTAAGTTTTTTTCTCACTGTGTTACTCGTTCAAAAAGGAGAGGTAGACCAGGAATAACTGACTCAGAGAACTTGAACAGATGGGTGATGTGAAAAAGATTTTTAGAACATCCAAGCAGAGAAACGAGGGGTAAACCATGATTGCCAGTATCTTATTTCAGACCTAGCGCTTGAAAAATGTTTATTCCTTTTTACCACATAGTATGTGATAATATGGTACTCATGCTGCTCTTTTTATGAGTCTTATCTTTTTTTTTAAACTGTTCTTCCCGGGGGGGGGGGGGGTTGAGTGTGGTGAGCGAGTGTTACCTACAAGTCTCATTAAAAAAAGATACGAAGCGTTGAGCTAAAAAAGTATTAATTGAATTTTCCGTCGTGTTAAGCTTGAAAGGATAATTTATTTTTTTGCTTGAAGACTTCTTCCTTTTGTGATAAGTGTAAAATATGAACCAGTTTCTTATTCCTACTGTTTTATAATTTATAGTTATTCTTGCATCAGTAAGGTTATAATGAACATGTTTGAATGTTCAAATACTAATTCTATAAGCTTAGATACCCAACGCTCTTTTAAAACATACATGCTTGAATATTGACTTTTTCTCAGGCTGTAACTGCACGTTTTGTGCGCTTCCATCCAACGGAGTGGTCTCAGTATGGTATTGCTGTTCGTCTCAACTACATTGGTTGTGTCAGTCCAGACAGGGGGGCAAAGACTACGGAACCCACTGTCACCCAGCCAACTGACGTCACTGTCCCAACCAATACGTCTGTCATCCATGAGCCAGGCAAGTGTTTGTTCTGTTTTTGTTTTGTTTTGTTTTTTGTTGTTTTGTTTGTTTGTTTGTTTGTTTTTGTTTTTGTTTTTCATTTGTGAAACTTGGGGAGTTGTGGAAACGTCAAGTATGAATACATTGACCACCTCAGAAATACATCGTTTGTTTCGAGTGTGCTGTAGTTTGACTTTGGATTTGTAGCTTGTTGTTTTACGTTTGAGCGAAATGAATTAGTTTTTTTAAGTCGTCGTCTGTTTGTGTGTTCATTTCAGTTTGTGCTAAGCCAATGGGAGTGGGAGATGAGCGAGTGGTCCAAGATTACCAGATAATAGCCACAAGTCACAGTGGAGAGGACGGCAGGCCAGAGCTCGGACGTTTGACTGAGGGTCAATTCAAAGGAGCTTGGGTTGCTAAGTAAGTGCCTGTGTTACTTCTTATTATTATTATCCTTTTTTCTTTTAAGGAAAACACCGTGTTTAATTTCATATTATGCATGTCTGCTAAATAGCGACAGGTAATTATTCTGTGCATGGGGAAAACGTGCCACTCATGAACTGTGAATATGAACTGGAAAGCCCAATACTTGCAAGATTTTCTTTATTGTCTTATGGAATGTTTCCATGTGGGGTCATTGGGGTATTCAGGAAGTGCTTTTATATGAATATGGCTCTCATTTGAAAAATGAAGTAATCTCTTACAGTTGTGGGAAAAAATAAAAATGCTGTAAAAGTGATCCTCCCTCTCACCAATGCTAAGGACTCAGCACCCCGATGGCATTTGATTCAGTGAAATGTTTTGATCCCTGCACATCGTATTCTAATTTCTAAAATATCCCAAGGAAAGAATACAAATGATTTTTGATGGCCCTCTGCTCTCGCCACATTCTGTCCAGTACTGTGGAAGATTAGACGAAGTGTGTATCACAACATTTATTTGCTGTTAATCCAACAATAAAAAAAGTATTGTAGTTTGATATTATTGGCCATAGTCATATCTTGATTTTACCTTAAATGAGACAATGATCTAGCAAGATCAACTCATTATTGTTATAGTTATGTTTTCCATATCCATCCGTGAAAAGATTATTATAATCTTGAGTTTTAAAAAAAACTTTAAGTTATTAATTAATAATATAATATGCACATTACAGACCACAAACATTTGTTTCATAGACAGATTTACCATTTCTGTTATTATGGCACACCAGGGCCACTCTGCATCCTGCACAAGGTCATACAGTTTCCTAACGTTCTCACGTGCTAGTAACTGATCTGTGGAAGCCAGAAGTAGCGATATGGAGTGTTGCATTGACTTCAATTGTTTTCTTTCAGGCCCAGAGAGACTGCCCCCTGGATTCAAGTTGACTTTGAAGAATCAAAGATGTTAACTGGTATTATTATCCAAGGGCATGGTCAGAGAAATTCCTGGGTGACAAAGTATGAGGTATACTACAGTACCTACGGTGAGATTTTCACTCCTATCTGGCTGGATGGAGAACCAAGGCAATTTATTGGAAATGATGACAGAAACACACCTTTGTACAACTTCTTTGATGAAGAAATTGTGGCAAGATATATCCAACTGCAACCCGTTGAAAAACATGGAGAATTTGCCCTGAGGTAGGTACAAAGTGATTACAGAATTCACAACAACATCTAGCTTTATTTGAGAAGAACACAATTAACTCTTCTAACATTTTCGGGAATGGGTGGGGCGGAGAGTGGTAAGAAGTTTCTAAGGCATTTCTTACAATGAGAGAAGGAACTAGTCTGTGTACCTGAGACTTTTGCCAACACTCTTTGGTGTATGGGAGTTATTGTGTAGTTTAAGTTTGGATTATTTTTCCTTTATAACTCGTGTATACCTTTGATGGTTAGAAATGTATAGGTGTTATTTTCAACTGTTTGAATATATCAAAACTTTTCAGCAACAAAATACAATGTGGAGTTCATTTGATAAAATCAAAACACTTCAAGCCTTTTATTTCTTCTGTTTCTGTTTTTATCCTTTCAGATTTGAAGTCCTTGGATGTAATCCATCTGAGCCAAACCCAGAGGTAACCACGCGACCACCACTGTCCACCACTCCAGCCTCTGAGGAGGAGGACACCACCACAGTAACCACTACGCCAATCCCAGCATGGATGACCACTGTTCTGTCGACCACTGAATCAGGTGTCACAGAAGAAGAAGGACCAAAGGGTAACCCTCCAAAGATTGTATTCCTGAAATAACGTTTTTGAAATGTATTTACAGATTTGGATATACAGCTGGTACATTAAATTGCTTATTGTATGATTAATAGCACTTAGTTGTGTTGCTGTTAAACTGTACGAGTGCTGTGCATGGATCCTAGAAGTATAAGTCTCTTGGAAAGGCCAATGTTTAACTGAAAATAGTGAAATTTATAGTATGTCAACTTTAATGTATACTCCCAATATTTTTTTCTTAAATCGACTATTTAAAGTTATGTTTTCATTGATCCCAACCTTTTCTCTTTTCCCTTTTCGCTTCCTCTAGTTTGCCTGATACCTATGGGTCTTTACGACCCACATATTGTTAGTGAGGGCCAGTTGTCTGCCAGCAGCAGCCTTGACGACCTTCACTCGCCACAGGAAGCTCGTATTTACAATACCAAGTCAGCCAGCTCAGGGGGATCTTGGATTCCAGGGTGCGTATCTTATGGATGTATTTTAAAAAATGTATTTAATGTTTATCCTAGAAGTTACAACACTGTTTTTATTTAAGAAATTGGTGCAAGCTTATTGAAATCCTTGGTCAAACCCTGAGTGTTGCTGTAGTAGTGATTACTGAAGTAGTTTGGAGGTTTAAAAAAAATATATATAAAGTAGGGATTCACTTTCCTCTAGGGATATGAAGTGTATCCGGGGTATTGAAGTTTAGAGGAAGTGATAAACATGTTTGGTTTTTTTAATCTAAGTGGATGAAATTGGAGAACTCTTTTGTTATTTTTACATGAGACTTGACTCCTGGTTGTTTTATGTTTTATTTTTTCTTTGCTTTTTTTTTCTTTCTTTCTTTTTTTTTTTTTGGGGGGGGGGGGGGGGGGGTGGGGGCAGATGTTTTGTTTTGTTTGGGGGTTTTGTTGGTAGTTTTGTTGTTGTTGTTGTTGTTATTGTTGTTGCTTTGTTTGGGGTTCGTTTGTTTTTTTGTTGTTGTTGTGTTGTTGTTGTTTTGTTGTTGTTGGGTGTTTGTTTGTTTGTTTTTTTTTGGGGGGGGGGGGTTCCCGTAGTTTATTCTCTTTGGTGACGTTGTTTTAAGATTTACTTTAAGAGTATTCGTTCAACTGAAATGTCTATATTGTACTTAGGTCGGACTCTGAGCCATGGATTGAAGTGGACCTGAAAAGTGATAAAATGATATCTGGAGTGACCACACAAGGCAGCCCTGACCAGCCACGGTGGGTCCGCAAGTTCACGGTGCAGTACAAGGAAGAGGATGGTGTATTCTATTCAGACTACACCGAGGTAAGACATTAGTACCGTTCAGACCATTAATTTAGTTCTTTTCTTCCATTGTCGATTTTGTTAAGCTGGGTTTTTTAATATGAATTGTGACCTATTTTTATATGTTTTATTTCTAGGACAGCTTGACAAGTTATTTACATGCCTTGTTTTTTTTCTAAGTGCGTTTGTGCATTCATGAAGCTAAAGTCTCTATTGAGTTTCTTTATTCAGTATCCAAACTATGTTATTTCTTTCAGTTCCCGAATCAAGGCCCACCTGTTGTGTTTGAGGCGAATGACGATCAGAGTACTGTAGTCAGGAACCTTTTCAACAGAGACGTCATTATGCGCTACATTCGTCTTGTCGTGGTGGAAGCTGCCCCCTCGGGTCCAGGGCTGAGGTTTGACCTTCTCGGTTGTCAACCTGACACTCCTGATCTAGACGTCACGGAAGCTCCAACTGAGACTCCTGTCCCTGAAGAGACAACAGAACCGGATGGGGAAGTTACGTCACCAGGACCGGATGGAGTGACCACAACCGCAAGACCAGATGGAGTGACCACAACCCCAGGACCAGATGGAGTGACCACAACCTCAGGACCAGATGGAGTGACCACAACCCCAGGACCAGATGGAGTGACCACAACCCCGGGACCAGATGGAGTGACCACAACTCCAAAACCTCAGACGGAAGCCACAAGAATTCCCCCAGCCAAAGGTAGTAAATATTTTGAATGGACACTCGAATATCCTAACTTTACGTAGTTTTATCCTTTATTAAATGCTGGCAGTGAATTGGACATGAGCATTTTGCTTTGTCATATGAATGATGCGTCTTGCATAGTCGTATTCAAGATTTTGACAACAAAAAAGAAAGAAGTTGGTTTAGTTATTGTTTTTTCTTTGCAGTGTGCAGCAAGCCGATGGGAGTGGATAACCCTATGATGGTGGCTGACTGGCAGATAACGACTTCCTCAAGCAAGAGCTCTGAAGAGGGGCCTGCTCGAGCCAGACTCTTTACCCAGAAGGATGGGAAGCTGGCTGGCGGCTGGACCCCAGTGTATGTCTATTTGAATTCACTGTCTTGACACCAACCATAAATAATACTTTCTGCCATTATACAAAAATGCCCAGTTCCGGCATATGATACAAAACTTTTCGAAGAGAAAGAATAAGTCTGTCAACTGATGAACATGCTTGAAGACAGTCAATCATGTTTTTTGTTTGTCTTTTAATGATTTTTTTCCCAAGTTTACCGTACTTTTCAAATGCTGCATTAGTAGTTCTTTCCCTTCAACATCATTAAGTGGCTCTTCTCTGACTTTCTAAGTGACTTATACAATGGCAGGATTGGTTGTTTTACAAAGGTCTCAAGTTTAGATTATATCGACAGTTTCCCATTACATTTTTGCCCACTGTATCTCACTGGTAGTGGCAGGGGTGAACTAAAATTTTACTCTGGGGTACTGACTTTTACTCAAACTCCCGAACACTTGATATTGGAAATTAAATGTTTTTAGTCAGGCAAAACGTTTTCCTTTGAGATAAGCTTCTCTTGTAATGATATATCTCAGCAAGACTTATGACAGTGATCTTTAATGTTGCTGTTCCCGGTCATAACGATTACTTGTATGACAAAAATCTTTAAGGCGTCTCATGAAGTGTGAAAAGGTTAATGAATCTCTTACCCAACCTGAGCTCAAGAACGTTCTCTTGATATTTTTTTTCATCTCACAGGGACAACAGTGAGAACCAGTTCATCCAAGTAGACTTCCTTGAGCCTTTTGGCTTTGGTGGCGTAGTGACTCAAGGACGTGCAGATTTGCCCTACTGGGTCACTCACTACGCTGTGTCTTTCAGCAGTGATGGCAGCAATTTTGTTCTCTTGACTGTTGATGGGAAGGAGGGTTCTCAACCAAAAATATTCTCTGGCAACTCAGATCAAAACACACCAGTGACCAATTTGATGCCCAAGACCATAGAAGCTCGGTTTGTGAGGATTCATCCCGTGGCATTCAATGAAGGTATTGGCTTGAGATTCAACTTGCTTGGGTGCCGGAAACCAGTCACAGTCCCCACCACGCCTGCTACAACTGTACCATCTGTAACTTCAACTCCTGAGTCTAATGGTAAGTGAGATTTGTTCCATCTGAAGACAATTTTTTTTTCTGTGGTCAGCTGTAATGATAAATAATATACGATTTATTTTAATGGTTGGGGTTCTTAATAAAACAGCTTTGTTTTACATATTGGAATGTTTCCATAGGCTTGGAACAAGATTGCCATTGACCCGCCACTCTCCTTAAATGTCCAAAGGAACACAAATATCTCAGCTCAAAATGGTTTTGAGAGATGATTAAAAGATACGTTGTTATGTATAAGAGCCATTGATGCTTACATTAAACATTTGTCGGCCGATCTAGTACGTTAAAAATTAAGCTTGCAATAGCTGATGCACAACGCAAGTCACAAGACAGTACTGTACCCACAGCCACTGGCTTCTCCAGTGAATCAACACAGCCCTCTCATTGGGTCGAAAAAACCTGTTCCATTATAATCATCAGGTCATCATAACATCTTTTACCCAAACGCTGCCATATTTCTGCTTAAACGTTCCACGTAACTGAGAATATCTTCCCCATCAGACACGGTGAGCGAACCCACAGAAATCCCAGGAGTTAACGGGACAACGAGCCCCACAGGAACACCAATTGTTACCGGAACAACAAGCCCTACAGGAATTCCCGATGTCACCGGAACAACAATCCCCACTGGAACTCCAGACGTTACCGGCACAACACAAGTCACAAGACAGTACTGTACCCGCAGCCACTGGCTTCCTCCAGTGAATCAACACAGCCCTCTCATTGGGTCAGGAGATAGCGAGTTCTTGCCTCAAGATCAACTGCAGGAATTGTGTTTCGGCGGACAGGTAAGTTAGCACTTTTGGGTCACTGTGCGATCTAACTTTTGGGTTGTGGGTTTTGTTTGTTTGTTTGTTGTGGGGGGGGGGGGGTTTAGTTTTTTTGTGGGGGGTTTTAGGGGGGGGGTGTCTATTTGTTCATTTTTCGTTGTTTTTTTAGACGCTTCTTTATTTAGCACTCTACTGAAATCTGTTACGGGTGAAAGGAGCGTTAAAATGTGTCTATTTCCTTTAGTATTCTCTTTTTTTTTAATAACTTGGCAGCTGTAATTATGTTGTCAGTTTTCCCAATAACTACTTATCTTAAATTGTTTCAGTCAGTTCTCTTGATTTTAAGGAGAACAATGGGTGTATTTGGAGAAATATGGACCTTTTTATACGTTTAGACATACTGCATTATGTCTTCCTTGATGCTGCAATATTTCCATCCTGATAATTGGGGACAGAGGAAGGGGGGACAGTAAGAATAAACTTTTAAAAGAAGAGTATTTTTTTCTAAAATTTGACCTATACACTGACAGAAAGCCTTGTTAGTTCAGTCAGCAATTAAATGTTTGTCACCAGGTCACAGACGTCAAGTGTTACACTGAAGACGGCACACCCGCAGATCAAACTGGAGAAATCGTCACGTGCAACCTCCAGGACGGTTTGATATGTGTCAATGCTGACAACGAGCCGGACGGTTGCTCTGACTACGGCATAGTTTACAGGTGTGAATGTGTTGAGCCAACCACGTCACCTCCTCCCACGGAGAGCACTGTGCCAAGCACTGATGATGATGTCCCCACCACAACAGGTAACATTTGTGATAATGCAAAGGTGAACAAGGACGTTTACTTACAGTCTACTCGCCTGCATAAAACTGCCTTAGAGTAAGAATAAACCAGGCTCCCAAATCCATGTTTTTACGCCATTTGTTCATAGTTACAATGAAAATACTAATTGTGCAAATGAAAGAGTCTGTTCTCTGGAAGTGATTCTCTGAATAAGCAATTATTGCTGTAAACGGGTTTTCATATAAGGGTCAGAGGTATTGATTCTTTCGTTCTGGAATAGTTTTATTGATTCTTTATAAATGAATGTGGGCATTCTATCTGTCTGTACAAAAATGTTGATTATGTGGTTGCTGTATTCTTTGATTCGGTGTTTTAACCTAAAATCTGGCATGAACTTTTGTACATTTGTTCTTTTCCGCTTCGCATACAAAAAGCATTATAATTGGAGCTTAATTTATTGAGTTCGGGTCACCTATTGTTTTTATGCTTATGATTTTGGAGAGTGTTCATCCTGTGACTTTCCTACTTAAGTCCATCCTACTTTAATCATGGATCCTGAAGATGAGGGAGGGGAGCATCTATGAATTGTACCGCCTGCGATGATACCTATTCTCGAACCAAGTGACCAACCAAGTAACCAATTAACTACTTTAATTACAGTCAAAGAGCCAGAGACGACTACTCTTCCACCAGTTTGGGTGTTCGGCACAACAACGACTCCCACACCTCGTGTCCCATTTACAACACGCTGGGAATGGTCATGGTTGTCCACCACCCCACCAACCCCTGAAAGCCCTGAAAGCCCTGAAATGTCTACTTATAAGATGCCCCCAACAATGCCCCCAACAATGCCCCCAACAGGTAAGTGTATATGTGTGTCTTTGTGTGTGTGTATTATATGTGTGTGATTTGGGGGGGGGGGGTGTGCGTGTGTGTGTGAGAGAGAGAGATAGAGAAAGAGAGAAGGAGATAGAGAGAGAGAGAATTGTTACATTCCGTTCCCACGTGTTTCAGTCAGTTGCCTTTCATTATTTTCTTTAATTTTCTTGGGGGGGGGGGTCAGATTTGAGCTTCAAAAGACTTTTGTTACTCTCTACTTATTTTAACCTTGACCTGAATCGTGCTTTACGTTGATTATTTGTTAACTAATATGTCAAATTAAAAAGTAGGCATGAGAGCTGAAATATTGACCTACTGAAACACTTTTTCCTACAAGTCTCTGAAGATCAAGCATTTATGCAAGGGATGTGTTCATATTTGACACCGAACTGAAAAATCATTAGGTACAATGACAGCCTTTACATCTCTAAAAAGCAGTCAGAAAATCAAACGTGTCATATCAAATCCAAGAGTGCTGCTTCCTTTCAAAGAACGAATATGATGGGATTATAATACAATCAAGTGGGACGATGGGTAATACATAGAAAAATAGTGACATGTCTTGCAGTTAACGTTAGAAAAGGAAAGGAGATGAAGTGACTGATTTTTTTTCCTGTAGATATCTTATTTTTTTCCTTTTGGTTACAGGGGCTTCTACACAGCTGCTTAGGTAATATTTTTCCTCAGAACAAGTATTTTTGCATGTAATTGTCCATACTGTTCAGGGGTCTTTTAATCAGTTTCACAAAATTGTACAATTGGTCAACTCCCTTCCTGTTTATCCCATGTGTAGCCACGCCTCCTCCGCCAAAGCTTTACCTGCGCTGCAACTGGTCACCGTGGCTGAACGTGGACACACCTTCCCAGGGCCTGGGAGACATGGAGACAATCGCTGCCCTCAAAGCCAAGTACGGTCTGTGCTCGCGTGTCACCAACATCAACTGCCGGGTGGCGGGGACTTCCACGGACTACTCAGACGCCGGTCAGGCGGGTGTCCGCTGTGATCCCTTCAATGGGCTGCGTTGTTTTAACAGTGAGACGGACGAAGGCTTGTGTTACGACTATGAGGTCCGGGTTCTCTGTTGGAGCAGTGAATGCGATGGTATGTATTTGAAGACTTTTTTTGTCTTCGTAGTGGACACATTTTTGTAAAAGTTTGAGCCATGGGATCAGAATATTGCTCCATTTTTTACATTAGTTTGTGTATAGAATGCTTTGACTATGACTTTCTTTGCCTTTAATACAACATTTATTTCAAGTATTCATGAGATTGTTGGGAGTAAGGTTTTTTGTGGTTGTTTTTTAATTTTTAAAATATTCGTTTTATTCACATGGACCTAGCATGAAGAAATAAAAGCAAGCAGTCAAATTGTATCGTTACAGCAACTTAAATTACATGATTTGTCAGATATTGGAGGAGGGTTGGTTGATTTTTATTGCAGTTCACAATGAAATTCTGTTATCTTTCCCTTCAGTATGTAATTCAAGGTTGAAATCTTTGTTCGGCTTTGAAGGCGGTATTTCAGTTATAGCTTATATTCTGCCTCAAAGACACCTTCTTCTTTCTTAGAATGTACTCAAACTTAAGATTATCGAATTTTACTCGGTCTGTTTTTTAAAATGTCTGGTGAAATTGTATACTTTACTTTTATTCAAGGCCCAACCCCTCCCCCTCCCAAGCTGCCAACCACACCTCTTGTCCCGATGACCACGGAGTTTGATGCTCACTCCAGAACCACAGGTAAATCTTTTCATTCCGTTTGCCATGATTTAGGAGAAAAGGGAGCTGGTGTGATACTGAGAATGCTGTGAGATCTAAGCTTGGATCTTGGTATCCTAGCCAAGTCAGGACCTTTCTGTTGCTATGTTTGTAAATAGGAAAGGGTTGAGCTTTTTCTCCCTTCAGACCAGTGAGGCTTGCGTGACCAAGTTGCTCAATTTTCTGCCTTTTAGTTTGTATTACCAATGTTTGTATTTGTGAAGAGTTTGTGGGGTGTCAGCCAAAACGCCTGTCTTGCTGTGCATGTACACACACACACACACACACACACACACACACCACACACACA